AAAAAAAAAAGAACCTACAAAAAAGTCAAATATTTTAAACTTTCCTGAAGAAATTATGGCCCCAGGATTAAGCGCAGAACGACAGTGGTATCTTTATGAACAAGTTCGTAAACATGTTCAAGATCCTACTAAAAAAGATGAATATTGCTATAAACCGCAAATGCCTAAACCAGAAAAAGATTAATCAATTATTATGGTAAATATAGCGAGAATTTTAATCCACAAATTTATTTAGTCAAAATTTCTAATAATTTATACTTACAGTTTGTTTGAGATAAGATACATTTAAAAAGATCCGATATTTAGTATTTTATTTGAGATTAGTTATATATGACACTTGGCTTATATACATATATCAAGCATCTTACTTATATTACCCATGTTTATAAATCTTTGATAATATTCCAATACTTTATAATTATCCTATTAACTCAATTTCTTTATAACAAAAAATTCTAAAAGTTTGTATCTTTGACATAATGTCTTTAACATGAATTTAGACTTTTGGCTATTTTAATAACAAGCGGGCAATTTAAAAATTTTTGTTTTTCAAAATTATATCAGCCTTGTTTTGTGAATCACCTCACTCTTTGAAAACTGTATCACTATTTTCAAACTAGATCAAAAAGCAGCAGAATATTAATTAGTTATTATAAAAATGATTACTCTAGATTGTTGTCAGTTTGTTGTAAAAGATGAATAGCTTTCATTTGCCGGCAAAAATATAATAGGTTTTGTATTTTCACGTAAATGTCGGCCTATTAAATTTTATTTATTTTAGTATTAATTTAAATAGTATTAACTAATATAAAATTATTATTTACCAGGTGATGGTAATCCATGAATATTCGCATAATTTGTTATAAAAGTTAAAACATTTAAAACTGATTGAAAAGATATTGCATGGTTACTAGTTTTATTTTTTAATTTATGTACAACTTGTACAAGACCAAAATTGTTATAATGTTCACGTATATTGCACCATTTTTTTTCCCCTATTCCAAAAATTAAAAGAAAGGCTTTTCTACAAATTTTAATTCCCTCAAATTGGTATAAAGTAGTATGAAGTGTTTTAGAATCTCCCTTGGTTGTTTGTTCTGGTGTTCTTATTAGCACTTCTATCATTGCAAGTAAAAATACATCTAATTCAGCCTTTGTATAGTTTCGAATTTGTTTATATTTTATTAATCCATTATTATGATTAATTTTAGTTAAGCAATTATTTGTACAACATTTATTTGTAGAAAGCCGATGAAGATATGCTTCTTCTTCTTGATTATCTAGTTGTTTTTTGACTAATTTAATAGAGTTTAATGTATCATCTTTTTCATCTTCAAAGGGTTGTTTCATATAAATTTGACGGTATATATCAATTTGTGTTTTAGATAGTACAGAATCAAAATTAAAATTTGAGCTATTATCGCTATTAATTAATAGTAAATTATCTTCTAATTCACTATTATTAATTGATAGTAAATTACTTTCGTCATTATCAATTTCTAAATTTTCTTGGGGTTTATATACTATCGAGAGTTGATTAAAAGTAGAAATTAAAGAAACTAACTCTCTATAAGTTTCTTCAAAAATGTTTAAAAACAATGAATGACTTTGTAAACTCATTAAAACAAATATGATTGTAGAATAAATTCTGCAATTGTTATCTATTATTGTCTATACATAAT